CCCATACCCTCCCAGACCGACACCTCTAAACAAAAAAATGCCCATCCGGGGTTGGGGAAACCACTCCTGTTTTATTCTTAAAAATAGAAATGTAATGAGTGATTGATTTTAATAAGATTTTAGACAGAAAAAAATTTGAGAAAAAATGTACCACACTCACCCATTTATACTACAATTTCTTTTTTTCACAACAAAATTTTTATTTTATGTTTCTCTTAATCTTTGATTAGATTAATAGTTACCACTTATCTTATAATATGCATTTAATCCTTAATATTAATAAATTTGAAGTTTTTAGTCTCTTACTTTATACTATAAAACTTTTAACCTTTGAATTTTAAAGTTTAAAGATTTTAATTTCTAAATTAATGAAATCCGTTAATTTTCTATTAAAATGAAAATAAAATATTTATAAAATCAGTTTTCAAAATTTAAAAATATAACTATTTATTTCCAATAGTTTAAAAATTAAAAAAAATTAGTAAACTAAAAAAAAATTAATAAATGACTTTTTTATATATACTAGAACAACATTGATATATACAATCAAATCAAATGATTGATTCAATTTAAATAAAGAATTTTGCTGAGATTAAATAAAATTTCTTAGTTAAGTTAAGATAAAAAGTTCAAGAGACAAAATACGATCAAGAAATTTTTTTTAATCTCAGTCAAATTTCTTTCTTTAAATTGAATTAATCACTTGATTTGATTATAAATATTTAATACTATTTTTTTTTACAGAGTCATCTACTAATTATTTTTAATTTACTATTTTTTAATTTAAAAATTTTTGAAATTAAATTGTTACATTTTTAATCTTTAAGAACTAATATTGTAAATATATTATTCTCACTTTTAATGAACTTCATTAGTTTAGGGTTTAAAATTTTTAAATTTAAAAACTAAAAGCTTCATAATGTAAAATCAGAGATTAAAAATTTCAAACTTAGGACCTGTTTGGTGCAGATTGTGGAAAGAGCTTTTTGGCTCTAAAAAGCAAAAGGTGCACCAAACACCACAGCTTCTTAAACGTGCTTCAACTTTCAAAAAGCTCAGCTTCTCCCCATTCCTTTGCAAATTTCGGAAGCACCAATTTCGTGCTTCCGCGGGAGCGTCCAGCTTTTGAATTAATGAAATTAACATGATATCCCCATTTTATCATCGCACTTCCTTTTACTTACAAAAAAACCACTATATAATGTTTCAAAACACCACATTTCTACCCCATTCTTCACTATCTTCTTCCTCATCCAATTCAATTAGAGAAACAAACAAAAATTCTTCCTCAAACAGAAAATCCTTCCTCATCCGATCAGAGAAACAAACAGAAAATCTTTACCGAAAATCCCTCATCTACGAACCTAGGAGCTGAATTTGCGACGAACCCCGCGCCTGGGTTCGCGAGGAACCCTACACCTGGGTTCACACGAAGCCAAATGTGAAAAAAAAAAGAGAAAAGGATAAAAGATAAAAACAGCCAAATAAGGGGTGGATAATGATATATTTTAGATATCTTTAAAATATAAATAATTATATAATTAAATGATTTTAAAATTATATTAATA